CTGGGCAGCTGGTGGTAGTTATTCCCCATGATGAGACTGGTAATCAACTCCATGGTGAAATCTACTGGGAGCAGCTGAGTAGCCGCCTCAGGGAACGTGGCCTGCTTCCTGTATATAAGCAGAAGAGTTGGGGAATGGTCTCTAGCTTATGACATGCTTGGACCCTGCATGTAGCTGCGTCATTGTTTGGCAGCCTGCCATGTTCTGTCAACCTTGGGACTTACAATGGATTTAAATGAAAGGCCTACCATGTGGTTTGGTAACATCAGGACTGTGCCGTTTTATTTCTTGACCTTGGGCTTGTTAGCCTCAGCAGCCAGTAGCTGCCTGAGTGAAGAGATGCCTCTAGCTTCAGTGGGCCAGGAGAAAGAGCTGAAGTCCAGGGTCGAGGGGCTTTCACCCAGCCCCTAGAGACTGGCACTTTGAACTTGGACTTAAAGCCTCCAAACTGTAAGAGAATAAACTCCTGTTTGTTAAGACCATCCCATTTGTGCTATATTTCCTGTCAGAGTGGCACTACATACTCAGAACACAACCCTTCTGAATTTAGAGACCATCTAAAGAATAGATTTGATGTATTGAACACCAATTACCAAAAACCAGAGGAATTATGGGATGATGTCAAGAACATCATCCATGAAGAAAGCAAAAAGTCATTCAAAAGACAGGAAAGAAAAAAAGACCAAAATGGATGTCAGAAGAGACTCTGAAACTTGCTGTTGAATGGAGAGTAGCTAAAGCAAATGGAAGAAATGACAAGATAAAAGAGCTGAACAAAAGATTTCAAAGAGCAGCTCAAGAAGACAAAGTCAATAATTATAATGAAATGTGCAAAGACCTGGAGTTAGAAAACCCAAAGGGAAGAACGTGTTTGGCATTTCTCAAGCTGAGAGAACTGAAGAAAAAATTTAAGCCTCAAGTTGCAATATTGAAAGATTCTATGAGCAAAATATTGAATGATGAAGGAAGCGTCAGAAGAAGATGGAAAGAACACACAGAGTCACTGTACCAAAAACAATTGGTCGATGTTCATCCATTTCAGGAGGCAGCATATGATCAAGAACGGATGGTATTGAAGGAAGAAGTCAAAAGCTGCATTGAAGGAAGTGGCAAAGAACAAGGCTCCAGGAATTGATGAAATGCCCACTGAGATGTTTCAATAAACAAATGCCCTGCTGGAGGTACTCACTCAATTATGCCAAGAGATTTGGAAGACAGCTACCTGGCCAACTGACTGGAAGAGATCTGTATTTGTACCTCTTCCAAAGAAAGATGATCCCACAGAATGTGGAAATTGTTGAACAATATCATTAATATCACATGCAAATAAAACCTGACTGAAGATAATTCAAAAACGGTTGCAGCAGTATATTGAGAGAGAGCTTTCAGAAATGTAAGCTGGATTCAGAAAGAGATGTGGAATGAGGGATAGCATAGCTAATGTCAGATGGATCTTGGCTCAAAGCAAAGAATACCAGAAAGATGTTTACCTGTGTTTTATTGACTATGAAAAAGTATTCGATTGTGTGGATCATAACAAATTATGGATAACTTTGAGAAGAATGGGAATTCCAGAACACTTCATTGTACTCATGAGGAACCTGTACATAGATCAAGAGGTTGTTGTTCTAACAGAGCAAGGGGATATTGCATGGTTTAAAATCAAGAAGTGAGTGTGTCAGGGATGTATCCTTTCACCATACTTACTCAATTTGTATGCTGAGCAAATAATTCAGAGAACTTGGTATCAGGATTGGAGGAAGACTCATTAACAACCTGAGGCATACAGACGACAGAATTTTGCTTGCTGAGAGTGAGGATAACTTGAAGCACTTATTGAAGATTAAAGACTACAGTCTGTAGTATGGATAACACCTCAATATTAAGAAAACAAAAATCCTCACAACTGGACCAATAAACAGCTTCACAGTGGATGGAGAAAAGATTAAAATTGTCAAGGATTTCATGTTACTTGGTTTACAATCAACACCAATGGAAGCAGCAGTCAAGACATCAGACGATGTATTGCATTGGGTAAATAGGCTTCAAAAGACCTCTTTCAAGTTCTGAAGAGCAAAGATGTCTCCTTGAAGACTAAGGTGCACCTAACTCAAACCATGGTATTTTCAATCACCTCTTATTCATCTGGGAGCTGGATGATGAATAAGGAAGACTGAAGAAGAGTTGATGCTTTTGAGTTGTGGTGTTGGAGAAGAATGCTAAGAGTACCATGGACTGCTGAAAGGACTAACAAATCTGTCCTGGCAGAAGTGCAGCCAGAATGCTCCTTGAAAGTGAGAATGGCCAGACTTCATCTCACCCACTTTGATCAGGTTGTCAGAGGGGACCATTCCCTGAAGAAGGATATCAGGCTTGGTAAAGTGGAGGGTCAATGAAAAAGGGGAAGTCCCTCAATGAGATGGATTGACATATTGGCTGCAACAATGGGCTCAGGTACAGTGAGGATCACGAGGCTCACACAGGGATCAGGCAGTGTTTCATTCTGCTGTGCATAGGGTTGTTATGAGTAGGAGACAACTCAACAGCCCCTAACAACAACATTATTGATGATAGATATGTCATAGCTATTGGCTGGCTAAATATGAAGAAACATGAATAACTTGTATTTCTTATATTCTTTTCCAACATAATAGCTTGTTTCTAATCTAATCAGGACTTACCCAAGTTCTCACAACTCATAAGTGACAAGAAAAACCTGTTGCCTTAGAGTCAGTTCCAAATCATGCCAACCCTAAATGTGCCACTGTGCTCCATGGGGTTTTCAATGGTTGATTTTTCAAAAGTAGATCACTAGGCCTTCCTTTCAAGGTGCTGCTTGGTGGGTTCAAACTGCCAAACTTTAGTTTAGCAGAATGCAAACCACTTGTACTACCCAGATGTAGGCCTAAAGTTTAGATCTCTTAGCCTACAGTTTGACTGGTCTTCAAAGGGCTCACAAGAGAGTATTTCTAATGTAGATACAACATGGTAAAGGAAGCAGCAAGGGTGGTAGGAGCAGGACTGAGTAACCAAGACAACTAAATGAACGGCTCTCTCCCCCATTCTTAGGAGTCCTGGTGGCACAGTAGTTAAAGTCCTATCCAAAATGTGGAGGGTGGACAGGTGGAGAGACCCATGAGTCTCTCTGTGGGGATGGATGTGGTAGTCTGCTTCCATAAAGATTCCTGCCTTGGGAACCCTACAGGACAGTTCTACTCTGTCCCATAGGTTTGCTATAAGTTGGATTCCATTTGATGGCAATGCATTTAGTTTGTTTGTTTTTTGGAACATAGAACCAGAGTGAGTGTTCTGGTTCCCTGTGGGATGTGGCCTTCGCTCATCTCTGGCTCCTCATCTTACCCTGCATCTCCACCCTCAGAAATGCAAAACCCTCCCTGCCTCCATGGGGCATTTCCCCTGCATGCTCTTCCTCCTGCACTCTTGTTTCCTTGGAAGAAGTGGCAACCTCCATGAAGGCCTGAAGGTGCTGAAGACTGAGTTTGCACTTCATCTCTACCACAGTGTAGCAGGAAGTAGAAATGGAGCAAACTTCATCATTTCTCCTTCCACTGTGTCCATGCCTCTAGAGATGCTGCAGTTTGGAGCCCATGGAAGCACTTACCAGTAGCTGGAAGATGCCCTGGACTACACTGCTCATGGTAAGAGGACTGCCCACTCCTCACACCAGGTAGCTCAGGAGGTGGTAAGCTCCCATGTACCAGATGCAGGCACCTAGAGAAACATGACCACTTGGCAAGAATGTAACAGAAGGGAACCAAGCTTGTGAATAATGGCTGCCTTTTATTTTTAAGGTTCCCTTCTAACTTCAGAATCCATGGCAATTTTTCTAGTAGACACAAGGTGTCAATCAGTGTTCAAAGTACTTCACAAATATTAATTTAATTAATTCTCACAGCAACCTTACTGAGGTAGGTGATTTTATAAGCATCCCTATTTTAGAGATGAACAAATAGGCACAGAGAGTTTAAGCAACATGTTCAAGATCACATACCCAGTAAGTAGCAGAGTTGGGATTCAAACCAAGGCTGTCTGGCTCCAGAGTCTATGATGTATTTTAGAACAGCACTGCCAGCTGTGACAAGACTCTCCTGAAGGCCCGGTCAGCCTTGGTTGGCCTCCCACTCCAGGCCTCAGGCTTATACTCTTGGCCTTGGTACCAGCTCCACATTAAGACAGACTTTAGAAAAAGTCTACTTTAGAATGTTAATGAAAAAGGATGGGAGTTATAATTGCATGAATTAATATTTGTTAGAAAGCGCCAGAACTACACATCAACTTGAAGAGAACTTCCTTTCGATTGGGATCTTTAGCTGGAGAGTAAAGGTTAACACTCAAGATGTCAGGGCACATGACAGCAGCTGTGCTGCCTGTTGCTCTCCGTCCAAATTCTTGTGACCCAGCCAGCCAACTGACAAATCTCTTTTCTTTCTGGAAACAACTGAAGACAAATATAATATATTGAACTTAACTTTTCTCAGCAATTATATCATGGAAGTGCACATATCCATGGAGTTATTCTTCAACCACATTAGATTCAATGCAATTTGCAATTCAATAAGCACTACTGAGCTCCTGTTACAGTGCTGGCTGGGGCTGTGCCAGGGTCCCAGCATCACAGATAATAGAAGGAAGCCCTGACCTCAAGGGTCAATGTCAATGGAACAATGCACATAGAAATATACTCTAATGCACTGCAGTGTATTTATTTGAAATAAGTCAGAACAGGGGAAGGAACGATTTATTCTACCAGTGGATCGAGAAGGCTCCTCAGAAGAGATGACTTTTGAACTAGGTTATAAAAAATGAATAGGATTATGAAAAGGAGAGGAGTAGGCATTTCAGCCTTAAACAAGAGTCTCAGAGAAACCAGAATTGGGGAAAAAGTTAGAAAAATTAAATGTAGTTTTCCTGCAGACGAAGGAAGCTGAATACAAGCAATTCCTGTTGTCAGGTAGAGTCATGGTACCTACCCTACTCCACTGCCATTCAATTCTGACTCAGTGACCCTGCAGGACAGAGGAGAACTGCCCATATGGTTTTCAAAGCTGTAAATCTTTTCAGAAGCAGACTGCCTCAACCTTCTCCCACAGAGCAACTTTTTGGTTAGCAGCTAAATGCTTTAACTACTGTGCCACCAGAGAGCCTTTCATGGTACTTAGTCAAATATGATGATTAACAGAGTTTTCTCTTAACCCATTTGAGAATTATTTAATTTCAAGAATGCTTAATAATCACACTCTGGAATATAGCCCTACTTTTTTTTTTTTTTCTTACTCATATGCTTCATAATTGTAGAGTCACAGGTAATTGTTATGGTCAAGAATGTGCTGACATACAGAGTTTGGTCAATAGAATACACCTGTGCTTTGCTTTGCCCCCAATATAGTTCAAGAATCATATGTGTGCTGCTTACAACAACCCACCAGCACTTGCCCTCTGCTGGGACCCACTCTTAAAAGTCAGCACCAGTTGCTGTCAAATTGGTCCCAACTCCTGGAAACCCTATGTTTGTCAGAGTAGAACTGGGCTCCATAGGAATTTCAATGGCTGATTTTTCAGTAGATTGCCAGGCCTTTCTTTTGAGGTGAATCTGGGTGGACTTGAACTGCTAACCTTTCAGTTAGCAGCCAAGCATGTTAGCTGTTTGTACTACCTATAAGTCAATATAGACCAATAAAATATGTATGAAAAGCAGCAACAGAGCATGTCCCAAAGTCTTGGGACATTCTTCCTATTTAACTAAGAGATCAATCCGCATTTGCAGTGCCACACTTCAGCGGTGTTTTCTTCTTACTGTGTACCCAGCCAGTACATGACAACCAGAAGCTTTGCCAAGATTCAGGCCTGCTGGTCCTACAAACACAATATGAGATTAGGAACAGGTGTGACACTCCCTCCCCTCCAGGTAATTATTCTTTAACCAGGAGCCATTAGTGCCGGGGACTCCAGCACGTTCCCGACGCCTCGGGGCTTTACCTCACAGAGTCCTAAGACCCCCTTCCCTCCTTTTCTACCCCCTTGTTGTTGTTGTTGTTATGTGCCGTCGAGTCGGCCCGACTCATAGCGACCCCTCCTTGGGTTTCTGAGGCAGTATCACTATGGAAGTAGGATTGCCCAACCTTCCTTCCGAGGAGTGGCTGGTGGGTTTGAACCGCCAGCTGTCTGGTTAGCAGGCAAGTGACTTAGCCACTATGCTACCAGAGCTCCCTTCTACCCCCTAGGGAGTTTCAATCAGAAAATTACAGGATTGGTTGTCATTTTTCAAATAGCACGTTGTCTCTAGTTGATTGGCTCTGTCCTGTGGCCGAGGCCGCAAACTGCCCTTTCTAGGAATTTCAAGTTTTTCTGATATTTACTGATTGGTTGTTCTACCCCCTAGTAACAACCAATCAGTAAATATCAGAAAAACTTGAAATTCCTAGAAAGGGCAGTTTGCGGCCTCGGCCACAGGACAGAGCCAATCAACTAGAGACAACGTGCAATTTGAAAAATTACAACCAATCCTGTAATTTTCTGATTGAAACTCCCCCTACCTGCTCCATCCCTGATAAAAGACCCCCTTTCCCTTTGTTCAAGGCTCTCAATCCTGAACCGCTGCCTCAGTCAGTGACGGTTGAGGGTCCAAGCTCAAGCTTGAATAAACTTTCCTTTGCCTTTGCATTATCGTGTCTGTGGTAACTTCCTCACGCCGACACTCCTTTCAAGACCTGGGACCAACACAGGCACCAGTGATATCCCCAAAGACTACCTTTATGAAGGGTATTGTGAAATGTGTAATAGCCCATTGTTTCAAGATAAAGGTATTTTCATTGTGTTTCTATGTAAATTAATAAAGATAACTGTACAGCTTTCTAGTGGGTATAAGAACTAGGCTAGGAACAGAGATCTCAAAGACGAAGGTGGCATGGCCCCTGGAAAAGAATTCTGTTTGATGAAGCCTATGGATTTGACTCTTATAGCCATAATGACTTTTGATACTCACAGCATCCACATACAGTAGCTGTTAGCTGCCTTTGAGGGAGCTCTCCATGCATAGCAAACCCATGCACAAGGGGATCAGACAATACGGTTTTCACTGGATGAGTTTTGGAAGTAGATTGCCGGGCTTTTCTTCCTGGTCTGGAAGCTCCACTGAAACCTGTTCAGCACCATAGCAACACACAAACCTCCACTGACACAGTGACAGACAATGAGATGCATTGGCCAGAAATGGAACCCAGGTCTTCTGCATGGAAGGCGAGAATTCTACCTCTGAGCCACCACTGCTTTCTATACAGTAGCTAGCTCTCTATTAATATGTTCATTTTACAAATAAGTCATGAAGGCATGAAGAGGTTAATGACTTGGTGAGACTCAGCTCACCCACCAGACATGTAACAGAGCCAGATTCAAATTCCAGATTTTCTGACTCCAAATCTTGTGTTGTTTGCACAATTCCTTAGCCAAAGTCTAAGCCATTCAGCAATTGCCTAAATATATACAGACCCTGCCTTCTCTAGTTCTCACCAGAGGCATTTTAGCCCAACCAAATCTTTTGGAGATTATTTTAAACTTAATTCTCCTTTAGTTCTATGGCAATTAAAATATCAATGACAGAAAGATGATTCTTATTGTTAAAGAATTTTACATAGGAGTCTCAAACAGGACGTATTTGAGTTACCATGAACCACACTTACTACCATCTGGGTTTTTTTTTTGTTGTCTCCCCCCGCCCCCCAGAGGAGAGAAAATTATTCATTGCAAAGCAGCAGTACAAGGAGTTAGGGGTAGTTAGTACCCAGATCTTAACTCCCCGAGATGTCATGAAACACAGTTTTTGTAGGTTTCAGGAGAGGGGGTTGTGCATATTCACAAAAGGTTGAGGAATTTGGGGCGTGAATGTGAAATGAGTAACTAGTTTCTTGTTATCAGCTGATAGGGGCTTGTGTAGAGGGGAGAAGGTCAGCAATTAACTTTTGTTCCCTAATGTCCTGGGCCAGAGTTCATTTACAAGTTGTTTCTAAAACATTTCTATTGTCCATGGCCAGAGTTAATTTACAAGTTATTTCTAAAATACTTTTCTATCATCTGCAGGAAGGAATGTTTTCCATTCAGTTCTTTACTGAATGCTCATCTGCCCAGGTGGGAAAATAGTTGGAGATAATCCAGTCTACCTATCTATTCCCATCCAGGTGCCAGGGTGGGGGAAATAGCACTCAGTTTCAATTCTCCCTTAGAATAGATACTGTTCCACATTTTTGTGGAACATTTTAATTCCCCCTTAGAATGGTTACTGTTCCACAATTTTGGGAAATGGGGCAACTCATCCTAGCTGCTTCCTGCTGACTGGGGGTGAAGATGGTGGAACGCAATCCCTGGTCAGTAAGCTTCTTGTAATTTGGACACTTCACGGAATCTTCTGGCCATAGTCCAGGGGAGAAGAGACTAGGGGTACCTGTAGAGTAGCTTGTAATTCCGGAGGCTTGAAGACAGGTAAGCACCAATAGATGTCTTTAAACTCAGAATAATTTTCTTTCTTTCGAAAGCGCCTAGAGGCCGAGGACCCTGAAGACGGTCACAGACCCAGCACCCCTCACGTACCTTCAGACAAAACAGTGTGTGAGTGCGCACAAAGTCCGTCAGGAGTCTGTTCCTCTAC